ATTGCTGTTCATTGTGTTGATCTGCAAACATTTTGACATTAAAATTTTCAGTGTTGTGGTGTTTGTGTCGTAAAATTAAAAACATTAATTAAAGCAAACCTAAACGAAGCAACTCCTATAAAGCATGAATCAACTTTAAACATTCATTTATGATCGACTCTGTGTGTTGTCATCATGTTCGTCATTGTGGAATGATTTGCATATTCGTGTTCAAGAACCACTGTGACAGCTTTCTATGCTCCTCATTGGCTGGCACACCAGTCGAGTTTTGGGCATAAAACAAAATAGGTGTAATCATGGATTTAAACACACAACACATGCTGATGGTATAATGCATTTCCTATATCATTATCTAACACTTGCATGAAATCAACTCCTCATCCAATATGGTCGAATCGAATCGAAACAAAACAAAACAAAACAACAAATGTATGAAAAAAAAATTATTCTTCAATCAATCAATCAATCAATCAATCGATGGATGGATGGATGGATGGATGGATGGATGGATGGATGGATGGATGGATGGATGGATGGATGGATGGATGGATGGATGGATGGATGGATGGATGGATGGATGGAAAAAGCATGAAAATAATTTTGTATCTTTTTCACACAGAGATGAAGATGAAAAGACTGAAGTTTTGAAACCCAAGTTGACCTTTAACCCATACCTACAGAGGGTATATCAGGTAAGTATAGAGCGGTAGTAGTACCTGCACATGACAGTCTATTTATACCAGTCTCTCAGACATACTTAAAATGAACGTTGTAACTCGTGTGATATTAATTCCATTTGATTGCGACATGAATAAGTATGGCGCCACCGCTGTGATATAGCACTATTGTTTAGAGGATCTCCAGTCATGATCATTTGTGTGATATATAGGTCGATAATAAAAGAGGTCAACCATTTTTAGCTCCGCTGTCGACTTTGTCGAGCGGAGCTTATCATATGAGTGATCGTTCGTCGTCGTCCGTGTCAATGTTTTACTTTTTCGACTTCTTCTTGAAAACTACAAGCCTGAATGCTTTGATACTTGGTGTATATGTACCTTGGGTAGACGTCTCTCAGATTTGTTCATTTTGTAATATCTTCAATTCTCTAATTTTGGTGTATATTTTTGTCATTTTTGGTAAAAAGTGATATTTTCGACTTCTTGTTAAAACCACAAGTCCAATTGCTTTGATATTACATATATAGGTACTACATGTGGACCTCTTTCAGATTTGTTAATTTCGTGGTGATATCTTCAATTATCTAATTTTGATGATTATTTTTGTCATTTTTAGTGAAAAAGTGATATTTTTAAATTCTTGTTGAAAACAGCAAGTCAACATATTGTTCATTTTCTAATGATATCTTCTGTTCTTTAATTGAAATGTGCATTGCTAACATCGGAGCTATCTCAGCCGACAGGCTGCTTGTTTTTAAATTCTATTTTAGATATATGTAATACAATAATCATAATTAGATTATGATCTCAGGCACTTGGCATACATGCAGTCATCCATTGACCTGACATATGATCTCAATTTGATGACATAAAAGCATTGACCTGACATATGACCTCATTGTGATGACATTAATGCATTGACCTGACATATGACCTCAATGTGATGGTATTAATGAATTGACTGACATATGACCTCATTGTGATGACATTAATGCATTGACCTGACATATGACCTCATTGTGATGACAGTAATGAGTTGACCTGACATATGACCTCATTGTGATGACATTAATGCATTAGCCTGACATATGACCTCATTGTGATGACATTAATAAATTGATCTGACATATGACCTAAATGTGATGACATTAATGAATTGACCTGACATATGACCTCATTGTGATGACATTAATGCATTGACCTGACATATGACTTCATTGTGATGACATTAATGCATTGACCTGACATATGACCTCATTGTGATGACATTAATGAATTGATCTGACATATGACCTCATTGTGATCACATTAATAAATTGACCTGACATATGACTTCAATGTGATGACATTAATGCAACATGCCTCCATCAACATATTTGTTTCATTTTAGTGTTTACAGCATCGAGTGCTGAACCCAAATGACCCAGTGCCTGACATTGACCCTGTTATAGGTCAATATCTACAGCCATGTCAAGAGGTCCTGACAAAATGTAAACCCAATTTGGACAAAATGACAAAGGTTTTCAAGTTAGATCGAATTACAAAGAAGAAAGTAGATGCCACTGGTGAGAACCTTTGGAAGCAGAGGTGAATATATTGTGCCTGGTTTTACTGTGTTATTATTCTCACTGTATAATGTATTTTTTTGTATGGTTCTCTGATGGGCTGAAGTCTGAAGTGGAGTCCTATGTCTGTCTTTATCCTCACAATACAATGTAATTGTTTGTGTGGTTCTCTGATCGGCTGAAGTCTGAAGTGAAGTCGTATGTCTGTCTTTATTCTCACAATACAATGTAATTGTTTGTGTGGTTCTCTGATTGGCTGAAGTCCGGACTTATAGACGGTCGTATATTTGTTATTTGCAGTGACGTCAATGAATCTGGTCCAGCTGCAAAGAAACCCAAGATTGATGAAGATGGTGATTTTACTATGGAGGGAATGGCAAAGGGCAAAATTACAGAGGTATGTTGTTGCTTTTGTTGCAAGTAGGTTCATCACCTTGCATAAATTAGATAGCGTACTATGAATTTTAGGTAAATAACAAACTGATATACCCGTAAAAACCCTCAAATAAGAGCCA